CATTGATATATTGTGATGCAAAGAATAGAGTATTTAAACAATGAGAAGAAAGATTAATAGGTCAGAAATTCTTGTCAGTCAATTACGAGAATAGAGGAAATGAAGAATAGGTTTAGAATAAGAGAATAATGGAATCTTTTTTTTCTTTTTTATGGAAATTATTAGTGCATTATAGGCATTCCTTTATTCTGGTGTAACGTTTATTCTCTTTATTATTCATTTCATCCATTCTCTTCTTATTGCAACGAAAAAGATTTTATCCGCCAATTCCTATCATGAAAAGAATTTTTAAAAGAATAATTTCACATTTATTATTTAATATTGATTATATTTGTAACTAGCAGCCATACCAAGCTGGTCGATCAGAAAAAGCGTTCAATTAGAATGGAGCAAAAACAGTATCATCTTTAGATGTAACAGAGTCTATCTTCTTCAGTTACTTTAAAATACAGTGGGCTATGATAAGTTTTTAGCCACCCTTAATTACAGCAATTTTGGCTTGTTTAATAACAACTTTTTTTTTCAGACAATACCGTGTTAGTATCAAGCTGCTTTCATCTATGAACGATAGTTGACTTATATCTTGCAATGAAAGTTCATGGAAGTAAGGAAATTGGTGAATTTCAACAAGGGCAAATAATAGGATGGCATCAGTGTGGCAAGTTAAATAGAGAAATTGCTAGGTTTTTCCAGGTTAATCATCAAATGGTTAATAATATTGTCAAGAAATTTAATGAAGAAGGCCATTGTCTTGTGGAACAACTTTCAGGAAGACCAAGCATCGTGGATGAGTTAACGAAAAGGGCGCTGAAGAGGGAAGTCATCAGAAACTTTCGTCAGAGCGTCAAAGATGTCGCCAACAGCATGGAAATGTCACCATATGCGGTGAGAAAGACTCTGAAAGAGCTAGACTATCAAAGAAGATTTGCAAGAAAGAAGCCCTTGATTTCAGAGGTTAACAGGAACAGGCGTATGGACCGGGTGAGAGAATTCGAGAGCAAAGATTATGAATTTTGGCTGTCTGTAATTTGGTCAGATGAATATAGATTTTGCCAGGGTTTATCTTCTTCAATTTCTTTAAAGGACTTTCATTAAAAAAAAAAACACTTTGAATTAACGCATTTACTGACATAACAGAAGTAGTCTGTATTTATTCAGTCGAAGTTATCCGAGGACACGAAGGGATAAAACAGGCAACATGAAGACCCACTTCCGACAACAATTATTTTGGAGTTTTTGAAATTCAATTTGTCAATGTAAAAGAGGATACATTTATAAAGCAATTGTTAAGTTTGATGAAAATTGGTTGAAAAATCAACGAAAAATAATGAAAAAACCAGTAAAAATCGCCATTTTTCGCTTTTTACGCGGGTTTTCACTATATGGGTGGACTCAATTATCAAGTTAAATGACTTTTAAACAATCAGCTTATTATTGGTTACAATTGAGTGAAGTTTGTATTAGATCGCTTGAAAATTGAGGAAGTTTAAAAGTTAAAATTTGTGTTGATATCGATTTGTGTCCGACAAGTTTTCATAGAAAATATGCGTCGTCCGTAATGTTTGTTAATACTGTTTATTATAAACAGAGCATTTACTTAAATATTTGTCTCTATAAAAAGAACGTATAAACATAAAAAATGACTTAAATAATTGTCGGACTTTGTCCATTTCATAATGTATGACGTCATTTGTTTACATTTGGATACGCATTGAGCAGATATGAATGAATGAGAGAAAATCATGGAGAATTATTAATTATTTTATTTATTATTATAGTATAAAAACAGTAAAATCGTGGCCCAATCGGTTAAGACACGTCAGGCGATATGAAGGTTCCGTATAGGATACAGGTTCGATTCCTGTCGGAGGACGCATATTTTCTATGAAAATTTCTCGGACATTCAGGCCGGTAAATGTCGTTAATACTGTTTAGCATTTACTTAATTATTTGTATCTATAAAAAGAACGTATAAACATAAAAAATGTACATTATTTACATTATTCGGGCTATTGTCTCATCTTTGTCGCCATGTATATTACAAGGCTTCGGCCGTTGTACGCTCCGACTTTCTTCAGGTAGTTGGAATGTCGAACTGAAACCTTTATTTCGCTCACTGGGGTAGACTGTTCTAGTTCCACGTGCCATGTTTAACGGATATCAGTTATCCACGGCGCCATGTTTCCTTGAGGACACATGGCACATTGGATAAAGGCGTTAGTTACATCCAGTGACAGGACCCAAAGAGTCTGAGTTCAATAGCTGGTTAAGGCGGTGGAGAACTTTCAGAGGGAAATTAACAGGAGATAACTGATAACTGACATGGAACTAGAACAGTCTACCCCAGTGACATTCCAACCACCTGGAGAAGGCCGGAGCGTACAACGGCCGAAACGTTCTAATAAATATGGCGACAAAGATGAGGACAATAGTCCGAATAATGTAAATAATGTACATAATACCTCATTTCAGAAATATAGACAGATATTGAAAGTCCGAAACGTTGCGATAGATATGGCGACAAAGATGAGGACAATAGTCCGAATAATCCGAATAATGTAAATAGTCAGATACATAAAAGCCGAAACGTTGGATCTCAAAGAAATAGTCCGAATAATGTAAATATAAAAAATGTCTTAAAAAAAAATGAAAATGAATAATCTTACAGATTCGAACGAGGGGGGAAAACTTATTCCTCCTTACATAAAATCATACTGATCCTAGCAAATCGTTTTTTTTTTAATTTTTCTGAAAATGTATTCAATTTACTATAAAATGTATTGATTGTGATTTTCTATAAAAATGTGTTGTTGGTGATTTTACTATAAAAATATATTGTTAGTCATTTTAATTTAAAATATATTTTTAGTCGTTATTCATTAACACTTTGTACCCTGACTACCGCTTTAACGGTGGTAAAGAAAAATGACGTAATGCCCAGCCACCGGTTGATCGGTGGTAGAGAAAAATAACTAAATGCCCAGACACCGGTTGAACAGTGGTAGAGAAAAATAACTCAATGCCCACCCACCGGTGAGTAAATACTTGTAACTATTTTCATATCTACCGTGAATTATTACATACCGATTATTAGCGAATTTTGACTCAGGAGCTCAGGCAGAAAGATTAAAATTGTTCAGGAACGCATGGCTCCAAGGTTTTATAATATATTGTTGACAATTTTACGACAAAAATATAATAATAGTAATTTTACTACAAAATATATTATTGGTGAATTTTTTTTTTATAAAAATGTATTGCTGGTATTTTTACTATAAAAATGTGTTTATATACTTTCATAATGTTTTGAGTTTTGTTTGAAGGCTCACTCTTTATCCATAGCTGGGACCCTAACAAGGTCAGGGTGGACCTGTGAACAGCAGCAATTAAGAGTTGGTTCCACGTTCCTCAAAACCTCCAATCTCCCGATCAGTGACCTTGAATATCGTCCCTTCTTTGATATATTTACTTTTCTAAGTCCCAGTGTTCAAAACATTATATTAAGTGATTTATCAATATAAGTGTAGTTGTGGACTCGACTACATAGGGAGGACATCCCAGCTTTTTGATTCGAGAATAGAACAACATTTACTCCCCAGGATTTTGAATCCGGATGCCAGGAAGAGCCAACTAACCAATATATCTGGCTCTGCTATTGCTGAGCATATAATAAATAGTACGAAATGTGTGGTTAATTTTAGTGTGGACCGTTTTTTCATTTTATCAAGGTCCCACTCCACATATCACCTCAAGGTTCTAGAGTCCTTGTATATCAGATCCCTTTGTAAACAGAGGGAATGCTTTCTGGGTCTGCATGTTATTGGATTCTAGCTTTATTGAAATTCATTTTTTTCCATTCCATTTGTTAATTTAATTTACAAGCTTTTATAAATTTTCTATTCCTAGAAAAAATAAACTTGATAAGTCCTGGGACGAAACCGGTTGTTTTTTTGCTTTTTTTTTTTTTTTTTTGTTGTTTTTTATCTTTTTTATTTATTTAAAAAAATGCCTTATAAATTTTGCCTTTTCCTAGCTATTAAAACATTATATATTTGTGAATTTCTAAATAACGACTGATATACAGCGTTTTATTTTCGGAGCTGCAATATTTGTTTCAATTAAGAAAATTCACTTCTGATTCGAATCTCCTTTACGCTGACAAGAGCAAATTTTCTCTTTTGCCATATTTATTTGTAAGCCTCGAGGGCAGAAAAGAATCCGATGTTCTAACTCGTGTCGACAACGCGAAAACAGGAACGGCAAATGAGCTGCAGCATCGGAACTCATTGAATGATTCCTGGCGAAATTGGCAGACGTTCAAGAAGTGGACATCGCCCTGACATGCTGGGTCTCCAGAGCGTAATTATCCAATTTTACAGGAGATAATGCAAAGAAAACAATCGAATTAGCTTTGTACGTGTCAGCGTTGGTCGTTGGAAAGAGGAGCGTGTGTTTGGGGGTTGAAGGAAACCACGGTTCAGAAAGGGGCCGGGAGAGAGAAAGAAAGGAAAAAGGAGATCGAAAAGAAGAAAAGGAGAGGCAAGAAATCGGAGAGAAGAAGAAAAAGAAAAAGAAAAGCAACAAAGAAAAAGAACTTGATGAGTGGAATGATTTTTTTTTTTTTTTATAAAAAGCAGATTTACTGAAAAAAGAATTGCAAAGAAGCGTAAAAAGACTCCAGACAACAGAAGTGATGCTGAAAAGTTCTCGACCCTAGAAAGAAGCCCTTCAGAATGTCTGATGTTTGGTTATTTGGTTAGATTGATTAGAAAGAAGAAGAAAAGAAGGAGCGAGAATCATTCAAATACAAGGGGTGGGAGAGAAAAGACAAAACGAAAATAAGAAAAAAAAAAGGAGAAGAAGAAAAGATGAGATAAAAGAGGCGATGAAAAAAAGAGAGAGGAAAATTTAAAAAAGAAAGAAAATGACATAGAAAACAAGAAATCATGAACGAAAGACGAAAGAAAGAAAGAAAGAAATACGAATAAAATTAAAGAAAATCAGAGAAAAAAGGACGATGAAAAAGAAAGAATGAAAGAAAAGAAACGAAACGAAAATGAGTAAAAACTGCAAAAAGAAAGAAAGAATAAAATTAAGGGAAGGAGGAGAAAGAGAAAGTTAGATACTAAGATTAGAAAGAAAAATGAAAGAAAGAACCCAGAAAAGAAATAAAAAAAATTTGAATATCGAAAATTAATAAGAAAGAAAGAAAGAAAGAAAGAGAGAAAGTAAGTAAGTGAGGGAAAAAGAAAACAAATCAAAAGAAAGAAAGAAAGAACGAAAGAAAGAAAGAAAGAAAGAAAGAAAGAAAGAAAGAAGAAAGTGGGGAAAGAAAACAAATCAAAGGAAATATAAGAAAGAAAGAAAGAAAGAAAGAAAGAAAGAAAGAAAGGAAGAAAGAAAGAAAGAAAGGAAGAAAGAAAGAATGAATGAAAGTGGGGGAAAGAAAGAAAGTGGTGGAAAGAAAACAAATCAAGTGAAATAAAAGAAAGAAAGAAAGAAAGAAAGAAAGAAAGAAAGAAAGAATGGAAGAAGCAGAAAGAAAAATTGAAATCCTAAGATTAGGAAGAAAGAAATCGAAGAACTAGACTAAGAAATAAATTAAACAGAAAAGAACGGATAAAAATGGCGGAGAAGAACAGAAAATTTAAGAGAGAATCAAAAGAAAGAGAGAGAAAAAGAACGAAAAAAATAAAAATAAAGAAAGATGCAGAAAATGACGGGGAAATCAAACAAGGGAAAAAATAAGGTGGCAATGAAGCGCGCAAATAAACGAATATGTTAGGACGAAAACAAAGAGCGAAATCATGAAGAACAAGAAAAAAAAAGAATTTAAAGGAAAAAAAGAAAGTTAAAGAAAGAAAAATCAGAGAAAGATACAAAAAGACAATAAAGAAAAGCAAGTGAAATCGAAAATAAGAAGAAAAAAAAGGAAAGAAAAATGAAAGAAAAAATCAACCAAAAAAAAAAATAAAAAGAATGAAACCCTGACGTCAGAAGGCACATAAAAAAAAAGAATCTATTTTCAAAAAGAAAAAGCCTTTTTTGTACATCGATTTCATCAATTCTAAAAAATAGCGCGAAATTTTTTTTTTTTTTAAATTGAAAAAGGCGGGAAAAAATGCCCATCTGTGCAAGACAAGACAAGGAGTAAGATGTTCTCGGGGGACATGGTTTAATTGCGGACTTTGATATGAAAGCGAAGATAAGATATCAAATAGATGCTTTCGGTGACGTTATCCTAGAAATTGGCTTCTCTTTCGTCGCTTTTACCTCAACGGCCGATTTTGATACCATGGTTTCAGACTTCGTGGGCGATCTTGGAATTTATCAGGCGACTTGCCTGTAGGAACTTTACGGTGCACGTGACTGCCACTGATTTAATCATAGATTATCACTGACTTAGTCAAGGACAAGAGAGATAAAGAAAAAAAAAACAGAGACAGAATTGAAAAAATGCCAACAAACATTAGGTCGATTCATAACAGGAAAAAAAAAAAAACTTATCGTCAGCATTTTCTTTTTCCCTTTCTTCATTCAGTCCCGCTTACATACGTGACGCCATCTTTACATGACCCATTATCAAATTTACAAAGTCGTATGCAGGATATTATAATATAGACAGGGGACTGTTCCCTTGCTGTCTCCTAACGCCGGAAGCAAGAAGGCGGCAAAGGGAAATGTCTCCTGTCGTCTTGATGTGGGGGACAGTTATCTATTCTCTATAAGAAGTGTAATGCGCTACATCTTCTTCTATATGCTGTGTCAATTCAGGACTTGGGCGATTATGACTCTCCACACCTTTCTATCTTTTATAGCTCCTTTTTATGCAGAAGGTTCACCCTGTGCAAGGCCGGGTGCCACTCGCAATAGAGGCAACTTTTAAGGATAGGAGGGAAAGATAATGGATAACTTTATACTGGAACGTGATTAAGGAGTCTGTTCCACAGGGAGGTGGTTTACGGGAAGAAGCTGTTTGAGTGGAACTTACTTCTCACCGATGGAATACGGGGGGAATGTGGGTGATTTGATACTATGGAAGTGGCATGACGGGTCCTAGCCGTGAAGGTTAGGATTGACGGAACCAAGGTAGTTTATCCGGGCACTTTCTATGGAAGTAGCGACAGAAACCTGAGAGACTCGCCACGTTCCGCCTGCGACAGAGAGGTTGTGGGAGTGGAAAATAATTCATCACCCTGAAGGGCTCGGAGGCGTTTATGTACTCTATCGAGACTGAAAAGTGAGGACTGGACAGCTCCTCCCCAAATACCTTTTAAGCATTTCATCCCAGGCGGGAGTGCCAATATTTCGCAGTGGGTTAAATACAGTGAAGACGAGAAAGAAAAAAAAACTGTGTATAGGGAGAATGAGGAAAGAATGAAAGATGAACGGGTTTCAAGACATCAGAAGATGTCGATTGACGTTGCATTTAAACTTTTGAATATTGTAGTTATCAGGGAAGCAAGTAAACGGAAGGAAGTTCCACAGGCAAGAAGTGCGGAAAAAGATGCTGTCGGAGTAGAAGCCGTGGTTACATTTAACTATCTCAACGGTAAAAGGGTGGGACCTAAATGCCAGTCTAGTAGCACGCTTAATTTTATGTAATCGTGCACAACGGAAAAAAAAGCTCGACAAAACAACATCCATGAAAATATTTGTAGAAAAGACAGAGAGAAGCCGTGTCACGTCTATTAGAAAGTGACTGAAGTCGAGATGCCAAGTCAGGATCAGTCACATTGCAGATCCTTCTTAGGATTTTGTCGAGAATTTCGAGATGAACAGCTGGGGCAGCAGACCAGTTATATGGCAACAGTAGTCAATGTACGGGCGAATGGTAGATTTGTAAATGTGCAAGATGGATTCTGACAAGAAAAAACTTTTGGCACGACACAGTGAGCCAACCTTCCTTGCAGAAGATGCAGCAATTGATTCAATGTAGATGTTCCCCTCGCAATAAAACACTCTCCTAGAATCTAGCTTCAACCATGCTAATGGCGATACCCCGAAGACTTTGGTCCGTACACAAGAACCTCAGTATTGGCTAAATGAAACCAGGAGGCATTCAACTTTACAAGCCATTTCAAGCTTTAATATAAGCTACCAATATTTAACTCTGCCTGAACTAAATGCTTATAGACTCAAATACAAATGAACAAAACTGACCTATCCCCGATGAAGTTGAGCGACCTGAAGGCAGAAGAAAAAGACTTTGATTTTTCTTTCTCGTGATCCCTTCAGGGACCTAGGCAGCGCACTTCTCCTCTCTAAGCTCTTGATCGACAGCCGAAGACAGCGAAATACTTCGAAGGCTTCGGTCCATACACAAGACCCTCTGGTTTTAATCTTCATTTTCATCTAGACCGTTTGCTGTCTTGCTGTTTACCCCTAGCTGGCTGGAGGGGAGATAAGGGTATTAGCCAACTCGACTGGAATTCGAACTCGGCTCTCCGATTCCTCAATCCGAGACGTTATCCATTACTTCACCGTTTCTCCAATCGCAACAGTAGAATATTTTTTTAATAGATATGCTATCTAAGAATGGTCAGGTGCTATTATCGAAATTTTACGGCCATTAAGAATAATGGATTGAAAATTGAAGAATTTCATCCCCAGAAGTTGAAATAACGCTGAAGGGACTAATTTGGAATAAAGTAACATTGAACAAAAGTTCATCATAATAGATTGATATTTTTACAGTTTATTAACGTATTTCTTAAGCAGGTGAAAGAAAATCAATTGCAGTTATAATTGCGTCACAGTACCGCAATTTAATGAAACTTGCATTACTTGCATTTATAATCTGATATAATGGTAAAGTTATTTAAAAATGGTTGTTTGGAGAAAGGTGCTGGGCGGACCTGGGACCAATAGCAATTTATAAAGTCGAAAGATGAAAGTTCATCCAAAAAATTACCGCGAAAATATTTAATTATTTTCCCATAGCTGGGACCCTAACAGGTTCTACCACCCCCGGGTCAGAGTGGACCTGGGAACAATAGCAATTCATAAAGTCGATATACCAAAGAGGAAAGTTCATCAGTAAAATTACCCTGAAAATATTTATAGAAAAGGCAACGGAGAAGCTATATTACGGAGGTGGAAAAGTGATTGAAGCTGAGATGCCAGGTCAAGACCGGTATCATTAGAGATTGTCTTTGGATTTTATAAAGATTCTCTAAATATAAAACAAGAGCACCAGACCAGATTTGACAGAAGCACCGGATACTATATAAGTATATATTAAAAAGTTTTATCAACATCGTTTTTTTTAATCGTATTTTTATGATGAAAAACATTGAGTTGCATAATAAAATCTCACAGTGTAAAATGACCTCTTCTTTGGGCCCGATGACCGTTGGTGCCAAGAACATTCTGGATAAGCGTTCCCTAATGGACTAATGTTGAAATCTATCGTGTTTTTTGTTTTCTAAACATAGTATCTGTGCTTAATGATTATTTCAGGCCCTATCACTTCGCACTAATGCCCTTGGGATAGGCCTAAACACATTTCTCCGCGCCTTCTGTTCTAGTTAATGTCTCATCGCGAATATGCTATCCTAAATGTCTAAAAACAGTCTGAGAATGAACTCTTTCCAAAACATTCTTATCAATCTGACCTATTCCCAGACATTTGCAGCTGGAGACTGTTACAGCTCTGGCCAACCATGACAGGATCTAATCATTGTGTGCGTGTGTTTGTTTTCTTGTTTTTCAGAGAGATACATTCACCAATTCTTCTGGGCTTCTATTTGTATCCACTTCCTTGTTTTTTATTTATTTATTTATTTATTCTACGTTGCTATATTTGGATGTAAACGGTTCAGGAGAACAATTAGATGTCGGGGATGAAGTGAATTTGAGTCAGAGTAAGCTCAAGCTGCGACTGACTCGCGTCTTAATTTACGTATGTTTGGGTTAGGGGCTGACAGATTTAGGGATGACGTGCAGGGTGTGCGGTGTTCGGGGTGCATTTACTCGTATTTCACATTTCAGTTCCCTTCTCCCAGACGCCTACTCAATCCAGTAACTTCCTGGGAATTTTTTTCCCCAAATGTGGCTTTAGTTTTGCTTCCGAGGGTAGAGTCTGAGTCTTTTCCTTTGGTTTCATTTACAATTTCTATTCCTCTGCGGTACTTCCTTGCTTTAAGAGGGAAATGAACAGAGATAGATATGAATAATCTCACATTATTGATCTGAATAGATAGATAGAAAAGCCGACATATATATATATATATATATATATATATATATATATATATATATAGAGAGAGAGAGAGAGAGAAATAGGCTAACATAGATTTGAATAAAATCATAGTCATAGAGAGAGACATGTACAGACTCCTAGATAGATAGATAGATAGATAGATAGATAATGAGTATGCATATGTATATATATATATATATATATATATATATATATATAGATAGATAGATAGATAGAGAGAGAGAGAGAAAAATAGGCTAACATAGATTTGAATAAAATCATAGTCATAGAGAGACATGTACAGACTCCTAGATAGATAGATAGATAGATAGATAGATAGATAGATAGATAATAGATAGATATGTATATATATATATATATATAGATAGATAGATAGATAGAGAGAGAGAGAGAGAAATAGGGCTAACATAGATTTGAATAAAATCATAGTCATAGAGAGAGACATGTACAGACTCCTAGATAGATAGATAGATAGATAGATAGATAGATAGATAGATAGATAGATAGATATATGTATGTATATATATATATATATATATATATATATATATATATATAGATAGATAGATAGATAGATAGATAGATAAATAGATAGAGAGAGAGAGAGAGAGAGAGAGAGAGAGATAGATAGATAGATAGATAGATAGATAGATAGATAGATAGATAGATAGATCCAATTGTAACATTTCTACAAAAATAGCCATTTTGTTTCAACATTTCTGGTGTCCCATCAAGTGATGGTATTGAATGTAGTATAAAAAGTTTTAAAAGGTTCCAATCAACGATATATATATATATATATATATACAGAGAGAGAAATAAACTAATATAAATAGATTCAGAGTTATACAGAGAGAGAGAGCGAGCGAGAGAGATGTACAGACTGATAGATAGATAGATAGATAGACAGATAGATAGATAGATAGATAGATAGATAGATAGATAATAAAAAGACTGTGATAGATTCAAATAGGGAGCAACATGATCTGTTTCTTCTATCATTCCCTGTTTCTAATTTTTTTTTATGATGGATTAGTTTTGTCTGTGTGATATTTGCGTGCCTCGCTTTCGTTGTCCGGTGCCTCGACTTATCATTCCTGCACGAGTAGAACCAGGCCAACGAGTGAGTGATTAATTCCTGCAGACATCATCCAATATACTGTAACAGATACGGGAAGCAATTGAGGAAGGTATGTTGCAATGGAGACGGGAGAACAAAAAAAAAAAAAAGAGACGGGACGTGATGAGATTGTCAAATTGGGGTTTAACGCACCAAGATGAGATAGAATTCAAAAACAAATAAATAGGAAACAGGAATTATCCAATCGTTTTCTTAGCATTGTTTCTTATTCTCTTTTTCCAACACTGACTTTCGCTTTCTTTCTTTCTTTCTTTCTTTCTTTATTTCTTTCTTTCTTTCTTTCTTTCTTTCTTTCTTATCGCCTTCCTATTTCTTTCATTTTCTTTCTGTTTTCTTTCTAACCTCTTTCTTTCTTTTCTTTCTTTCTTTCTTTCTTATCGCCTTCCTTTTTCTTCTTTTTCCTTCCTAACCTCTTTCTTTCTTTCTTTCTTTCTTTCTTTCTTTCTTTCTTTCTTTCTTTCTAAACACTTTGCCTTTCCTTTCTTTTTTCTTTCTTTTTTCTTTCTTTCTAAGCTCTTTCCTGTTCTTTCTTTTATCTTTCTTCAATTTTCTAACACCTTTTTCTTTCATCCTTTCAAACCTCTTTCTTTTTTCTTTCTTTCTTTCTTTCTTTCTTTTTCTTCTTTTCCTTTCTAACCTCTTTCTTTCTTGCTTTCTTATCGCCTTTCTTTATTTCTTTCTTTCTTTCTTTCTTCCTTTATTTATTTATTTATTATCACCTTCCTTTTTCTTTTTCCTTTCTAACCTCTTTCTTTCTTCTTTCTTTCTTTCTTTCTTTCTTTCTTATAGCCTTTCTTTTTCTTTCTTTTTCTTTCTAACCTCTTTCTTTCTTCCTTATCACCTTCCTTTTTCTTTTCCCTTTCTAACCTCTTTCTTTTTTCTTTCTTTCTTTTTTCTTTCTTTCTTTCCTTTGTTTTTTCTTTGTTTTTTCTTTCTTTCTAAGCTCTTTCCTGTTCTTTCTTTTATCTTTCTTCATTTTTCTAACACCTTTTTCTTTCTTCCTTTCAAACCTCTTTCTTCTTTCTTTCTTTCTAAACACTTTCCTTTTTCTTTCTTTTTTCTTTCGAAGATCGAACTTTTTCTTCTTTCTTCCTTTCCTTCTAACCTCTTTCCTTTTTCTGTCTTTTATCTTTTTCTAACGTCTTTTTCTTTCTTTCTTTCTTTCTTTCTTTCTTTCTTTCTTTCTTTCTTTCTTTCTGTGACACACAGAATCTTCCTTGATCTTCCCCAAGTTAACATTCTTTCTTTCTTTCTTTCTTTCTTTCTTTCTTTCTTTCTTTCTTTCTTTCTTTCTGTGACACACAGAATCTTCCTTGATCTTCCCCAAGTTAACATTCTTTCTTTCTTTCTTTCTTTCTTTCTTTCTTTCTTTCTTTCTAGTTTCACGGTTTTGTCATTTTTAAGAAATGTTACCATTTTTAAAATCCACTTTTTTAATTTACTTTTTTCTTCTTCTTATTCTTTTTCTCCTTTACGTCACTCGTTCAGCGCGTTTTTGCTTTCTTGATGGGAATGTGTTTGGATTCATCCAGCTTCGAATCATATGACAAATGGAATGTTTATTGCTTTCAATCGGCCCTCTTGGCCGTGTTAATCACCAACCCTTTCTCCTCATACCAACTTGTCCTCCTGACCAATTGAAAACAAACCCTACCACCATCGCCGTCAGAGAGACTAAAGATCGTCCTCGAGTCTCATTGGGTGTGAGGTGGCTAGACATCTCCCAGTGTCGGGTCACAAGCTACCGCCTTTCTGCGCCGGATTCCCTTTCATCTTTTCTTTCTTTTTATGTGTCATGTCCCTTCAGGATGTAGGCGATCATGGCTCTCCACCTTTTCTATCTATCCCTTGCAGCTCTCAACAAGTTTCTTCCCTCTGCTTCCTCCCCCAGACCACATTCTGTCATCCACTTGCTTAAGTCCGCCAGGTATGTCACGCGTTGTTTTCACTTGTCTCTCTTTCCCTCTATCCGACCTGTGAGTATCAGATTCTCCAGGCCCTCTTTCCTCATTATGTGTCCCAGAAACTTCATCTCCCTCTTCCTGATATTAACTATAAGCCTCCTATTTGTCTGCAATCTCTCTAAGATCTCATAGTTCCTCCTTTTCTTTCTTTTTATGTGCCATGTCCTTTCAGGACGTAGGCGATCATGGCTCTCCTCCTTTTCTATCCCTTGCAGCTCTCAAGAAGTTTCTTCCCTCTGCTCCCCCCCCAGACCACGCTCTGTCATCCACTGCCAGGTATGTCACGCGTTGTTTTCACTTGTCTCTCTTTCCCTCTATCCGACCTGTGAGTATCAGATTCTCCAGGCCCTCTTTCCTCATTATGTGTCCCAGAAACTTCATCTCCCTCTTCCTGATATTAACTATAAGCCTCCTATTTGTCTGCAATCTCTCTAAGATCTCATAGTTCCTCCTTTTCTTTCTTTTTATGTGCCATGTCCTTTCAGGACGTAGGCGATCATGGCTCTCCCCTTTTCTATCCCTTGCAGCTCTCAAGAAGTTTCTTCCCTCTGTCCCCCAGACCACGCTCTGTCATCCACTGCCAGGTATGTCACGCGTTGTTTTCACTTGTCTCTCTTTCCCTCTATCCGACCTGTGAGTATCAGATTCTCCAGGTTTTCTTTCCTCATTATGTGTCGCAGAAACTTCAGCTGCCTCTTCCTAAATCCTAAAAGTACATTGTCGAATATTCAAAACCGCTTAGTAACAATGAAACGAATTGATTTTAATCTAGGTACTCTATTTCTATCTACCCGCTACTGACTTGTAAGCATATACGATTTCTTTTCATATCTTATCTTATCGAAAGAGTTTTAATCTTTCTTTTTTTTCTGAAGTGTCTACTTATGCGCGCATTTGAGAAAAAAAATGATCGAATTTCACTGACATGTGTTAAAGATGAGTTTTAAAGATATTGCATAAATTCATGTTAAAATCGAAGTCTTCACACGATGCCAATTCCAGATGTGATTTTACACCTTATACTCTACGACTATCACGAGAAACATTAGATTTCTTTTCTTAAAATGCACAATAAAATTTAAACAATATTTTACTTAACAGCTGAAACGGAAATAAATATTAAAATATCTACACACTATTAAAAACTCACAACACCAGACGTTTAATCTATACACTGACATACACACAATTGAGAGCATGTAAGAGATGTGAGTATGTTTCAAATAGAATATGAATTACTAAGAAAATGAGAAAATAATGAGAAAAGAAGGCTTGGTGAATATAACACTCAAAGTTCATTTATGAGGTGGCGTCTGTAAGTTTTCCGGATGTTATGGTAATTTTTCTCCCAGCTATAAATAGGAGCAGTTACTTTTGGAGAAGAAAGTTTCTAGCAGTCAACTCTGCCAGTCGGACCGAACATTCTTGCTGTAACACTCTCGTTTGTATATGTTTGTATTATTGTTTCTGTTAATATATTTGTTTAATTCAGTTCCTCTCTTGTGTCTTTATTTCTGGCTCTAACAATACAACAACACTATCTATCTATCTATCTATCTATCTATCTATCTATCTATCTATCTATCTATATATATATATATATATATATATATATATATATTGATAATTTACCCACGCACGCATGGACACTCCCAGCTATAAATAGGAGTAGGTACTGCCTTTTGGAGAGGGAAGTTTCCAGCAGTCAGCTCTGACAGTCGGACTGAACATTCTTGCTGTAACACTCTCTTTTGTACATGTTTGCATTACTGTTTCTGTTAATATATTTTTTTAAACTCAATTCCTCTCTTTGTGTCTTTATTTCTGGCCCCTAACAAGGGCACAACACCGAACAAGTCCGAAAAAATCATATATTATTTAAATATCCAAACCATATATATATATATATATATATATATATATATAAAGAGTGAGACAGATACAGACAGAGGGAGGGAGAGAGAGAGAAAAAAAAGAGAATTACATTATAATTCTGTGTATGTAATTCAATATTATATATGGAATTACCTTTCAATTATGTAATTAATTGTTTATATATATATATATATATATATATATATATATATATATATATATATATATATATATATCTGTGTGTGTGTGTGTTTGTGTATGTGTTTTGTGTGTGTCCTACGCCGACTACTTAGGTAGGATCTCTGACTGATGCTAAATCGGTCGTTTCGATCCCGGCTTGAAGCAATCGGACGTCTAGCCACACTGAAGAGCTGTGATACAGCGAAACAGTATGCCTATATATATATATATATATATATATATGACACTAGAGAGACTGCGACAACTGATTAAACTCTCTTGCAATACTCAAGAACACAATTGGTCATATACACCCGAACACCCGCACATTATGAAAAAAAAAAGAATAATGCTTTCACGAATGAAACGTGTATATAAAAAAGAAAATGATAGAAGAGATCATTTGCTGCTATTCACTGACGAGTGGACGGAGTGATTGCCAGTGCATCCGTCTACGACACTTTGGAGTCGGGATGCAAAATCTAACATCAATCAGCCAAGTAACAAACCTTTTATTTGCATTAATTACACACACACACACACACACACGCACACACACACACACACACATATATATATATATATACCAAAGTATATAATTGGTATACACGGAATGAATTCCAATAACCAACAATTACTATTCTTAAAAGAGTGCTCAATACAAAGTAGAGCAGATATAATTATTTTTATAAAAAAAATTATAACATAAGTATGTTATAAAATCACTACAAAAATAGCATTTTTTCTTTTCAACATCATCACTTGATAAGACACAGAGTGTGTTGAAACAAAATGGCTATTTTTGTAGTGATTTTATAACATACTTATGTTATAATTTTTTTTATAAAAATAATTATATATATATATATATATATATATATAAAGAAAGAACAGTAAGATATATAATCCGGTGTTCTTATAGATATTTTTATTTTTACAAAATAGTGCTCAATGTAAATTTACAGAGCATTAATATTATTGAGGATGAAATGGAACTAATGTCTTTAATTTAATTACAAAACAAAATTCGTAGCTTTTAGCTTTATTTTTGAAACATGGTTAGAACTGTGTAGCGAAAAAAAAACATATTTTAAATCAATTAATTTATAATATATATATATATATATATATATATATGGGAAGGCTAGAAGGAAAATGAAATAGAAAGAAATAAAGATGAAAGAGGAGATAGAAGAAAGCAGAGAGAGAGAGAGAGAGAAGCTTTGAGGAAAAAAAAGAAAGAATATGAACCTAAAGGGAGGAGGTTTTAAAAAGCACAAAAATATTGGGAGCTGCTATTTTCCAAAATGGCGGATGGTATCAGGTGCACAAAGTCAATTCTTGCTTTTCAATTCTGTTCATCTGTACGACTTGCAATTTAATTTCGTTTCGTTCGGGCTTTTGCAATTTTTTGTCAGAAATCCATTTTATCAATCAATTGTTATTGTCATCGGATGATTAAAAAAAAAAGGCTTTCTCACGCTCCCCCCCAACAAATAATAACAAAGTAAATATGAATTGATAGAAATAAGAGATGACAGGGTAAAATTCCCAAATTAAATATTACCAGGAACATTTAGCAGAGTTTAAGGAAATAGAAATAAAATCAATTTCTCGAGATAAGAAAAAATATAGAAGAATTTATGATATCATCTGCTTCGATTTATCAATCTCTCTCTCTCTCTCTCTCTCTCTCTCTCTCTATATATATATATATATATATATATATATATATATATATATATATGTATATATATATATATATTACAATCATTTGTATCTATATACCTTTAATCTATTCATCTATATATACATTTCTATCTATCTATCTATCTATCTATCTATCTATCTCAACCAATTCATTATCTATCTATTTCAACCTATTCATATCTATCTATCTATCTATCTATCTATCTATCTATCTATCTATCTGTTGAAGCTTGGATAAGCATGGAATAATAATAATACAACACAAAATGTACGTAAACAAAATGTATTGAAACAAGGAAAAGGTACACAATATTTACAGTTAGTTTTGGTATATTCTTGGGAAGACTGTTCCTGTAGAATGGGTTGACTTAATCGCAGTCGGGCAGAGTTTCTGGATTGGATCTCTTGTTCCTCCCCCGTCTTCCCGGTACCAACCCATATTTATATGGTCGGTACTCCACTATGTAAATTAGGTGGATCGTACCACAACACTATCTATCTCTCTCTCTATATATATATATCAACCTATTCATATTTATCTATCTCATTCTTTTGTATCTACCTCTTTTTACCCATCTATACATATCTATCTATCTGTTTGCCTATCTCTCTCTGTTTCTCGCTCTCTCTCTCTCCCTGTATATATATATATGCATACATACATACACACACAGACATACTAGGTGCGATTGGTAAATTGTCGCCATTTTATATCTTTAATTTTGCGTTGGTTGTTTTTATTTTGTCGAGTGTGGTCAGATGGACACCTTCTTTGAGAAAAAAACACCATGGCACAATTCACACCGCCAGAAATTTGGAAACGGAATGCTGTATTGGTTTGCATAAGCGTCAGAACCTCCAATACGAACATTTCAGAGTGTTTGGGTTTGAAGACTGTACAGAGGATTTGGA